TTGATTTCCGTAACAAGATATCAAAACACAAGCTCTCTTCTGCTTTTTTTGAAGTATCTAAATTTTTTGGAGTACTCTTGCACATCTAAGTGAAAAATCGATTTTTTAGGGCCATTAAGATTTTTACTGAAGCACTTTCGAAGAAAACAGAAACTATAAGTCTGAGGTCTTTTTACGATAGTCACATTTTCAGGAATTTTTGACCAAAAAATACTGATGATCTGAATTATCCACATGACTTAGACTCATGCTTGAGTAAAGAAATTCAAAACAAAACAAGAGCAGAGAAAAAAACTAGGTGTCTTTTTTCTGAGAAAAAACAAGATCTCTACAATTTAGACTCTATTATCGACTGATCTTGCGATCTGAAACCTTGGGTTGTTACGTGAATAAATAAACATCCTCAGAGTCAAGTGTTATTTCATGTCACATTTTCTCGACTGGAGACGTCATCGGTCGGAAAATGGTCACAGCGTGTTTGTTTTCGCAAACGTCGTCCCAATACAGACTGTACTTCAAAGGTCATCAAGTCTCATTTCGCAACAATACTTTGCTCTCCAGACAGCGATGTTGCCGTCTTTGCTTTGCTCTGAGAATTTATTGGCTTACGGTTGGCATACTGTAGCGCGCAGAATGCAAGCCTCCGCAGTTTTATCATCTGGCACTATTAGCAGGCACTGTATTTCGGCAGTCACTTTATGTAATCTGAACATTTCACGGCAATTTACACAGAGTGATTCAAAGAATCGGAAAATGGTGCCATTACGTAGATGAATGAACTGAATACGACTTACCAGGGAAGTATAGGGTGTTCGAAAAATCGTGACGATGGCGTGACCTCGCGCGACATGCACTTCCGGCAGCCGCATTTTCTTGGTTTTTTCATCACTTCTCGAATGCTTTTTCTGCTTACCTATGATAGTATATAGATATTGGAAGTGACTGAGCTAAGCATTTATGTGATGCCTTTTTATATGAGTGTTTTATGCTCCTGTGGGCCTAAAGACCGCAGTCATACCTGTCGTCACGATTTTAGGAATGATCTACACTTTTAATGGCCGTGATCGCTTGATATGGGATGCACATAGGCTAAAGCATTGTCAAACACTGATTTCAAATCTGCATTCAGTTTTTGCGAAACGCCCTTCTGAAGGAAGCTATGGAAGCCTGAAAATCCCTTTTTTGAGCGCTCTTCAAGTTTGATGACGCATGCTAATATATTAGGTCGTTCCGAAAGTAATGTCGCTTTTTTCAAATGAACGCCACATCTCGAGTAACAAAGATGTGTAGGAGGTTCAGGTAGCATTTGATGCAGCATTTCATTCTCTTTCCAACGGTTACATAATCACTGTACAAGATGCAATAACCTTCCGAAAAATTATCAAAATCTGCGACCCATGCTTTTTGAGAGGGCCAAGTTTCACAATTTTTCTGAATTTTTACAACAACCTTCGGAAGGAGTCCAAGTAATAGATGGATAGAGCAATCCTTACAGAAAACAGTACACTTACTTTTAACTTACACAATTTTTTTCTACTTTCCAGAGCTCGTCATAATTTTTGTATCGATTTTTTTGGTAGGACCATCAAATTTTAACGGGCTAGCTTTAAACATAAATGCATCAAACACCAATAAATATTCGGATTTTGAAACTTACAAAGACGGATTATGGTTTAACACTAATTTTACAAACCAAATGAGCGTTCATCGCTTCAGGTTAGCAACTTTCGAAAATTCCGGGTACAGCCTGGGGCGCCCTGGAAATCCTGAATTATGACGATTTTATCCCGAAAAACTTGATGAATCAGAAACAAAAAACAACTAATAGAAAGAGGAGAAAAAGCTGCGTCGAATAACACCCGAGCTGCTTGCCGGTTGTTGTTCTGTGAAGTTTGAGTTGACCAAATATGGAATTTGATGGAATTGAAAAATTGGTTCCAGAAACTCTGAGAAGCAAGATAAGGAAAAGGAAAAAATCAATCGGTGTCCTATAGGGTTTGCTCTGTCTATCTGTTATTTGTACTTCTTCGGAAAGTAGGTACAAAAATTCAGAAAAATAGCCGAACTTGACCATGGCAAAAAGCATGAGTCGCAGGTTTTGGTAATTTTTCGAGAGCTTATTAGATATTATGCGCTGAAATTACAGCCGTTAGAAAGAGGATGAAATGCTGCATCGAATGCTCCTAAGATCTCTTGAAAATCTTGATTCCATGAAGTGTGGCGTGCATTTGAAAAAACGGACATTACTTTCGGAACGACCTAATATTTTAGTGGTGGAGTGGTGTAGCGGTTAGCGCGTTGGCCTTTGGGACGAGAGGTCAGTGGTTCGAAACCGTTGGAGAAGCTTATTACACGCAGTTGCACCAGAAATTCTTTTTTAGCTCAAATATGTCAAAAAACATTGCTGTAAATGCCTGCAGACGGTTTTAAATGCACATATAACTCCACTCAAAGTACAAAAGAATCCTCCTCCAAATTCGAATCATTGCCTTCTTGCCTCTAATGCCAGCACGCTAACCAATACACCACTGCACCATTAATCTCTGTGCGCCAAAAAAGACATTTCAAAAACTCCACGACTCCTTTCAGAAAAGCGTTCCGCAGAAACGGAATGCGGATTTGAAATCATCTTTCAAAAAGACTTTAGCCATACGCATCTCACATCAATCGGCCATGGCTATTGAAAGTACTTTCCTTGTCGATCTTATGTTACACCATTGGCGGTCCGAGTTATCATTCCGGGAAGAGGGGAAGGAGGACGGAATTTCTTTTAATGTGTTAGAGTGTGGCGTTAGAATAAAGAAAACTTTTTTAGTCATCATCTGATATTTTTCAAAATGGTCCCTTCAAAATGGTCTATAATTGTACTCACAGAATGTTTGCTTAGCTGGGACTTGTAACTGTTTGCCAGGCAATGATTACTGCGAAAAACTTGTGCGAGTGTGCGATATTTGCTCAGAGTGCTGTGTAAATTGTAAGTGCAAGAACTTCTGAAGCTAAACGTTTTGAGTTTGCTAAGAGAGTTGATTCCAATGTTTCCATCCTATCAAAAGCATGCGCAAACAATTTCGATGGTCTGGCAAGCTCTATATTCGACAATGCTCATAGCTAACGAAAAACCACATTTTCCTCTCAGCTCGTTTTTAATCTACATTATATGTGATTGAAACGAGCTCTGTGTAAATTTCTAGGTGCTCTTGAGAACACGCGTTGAATCTGCCAAACAATTGATGCCGAACTTCTGACAAGCGAGGTCCGTTTAGTCGAAGTGGCCTTCTTGAATGAAACTAGTATGACTTTGAAGAGCATCGAACGCTGATTCCAAATCTGTCTTAGAGAAGGAAGGTTGGTAGAAGTGGCCTTTTAAAATAAAGTGCATACTGCCTTGTAGAGCTTGGAACGCTGATTCCAAATCTACCTTTGCTATCTGCTGCGGGCTTTTGGGTGACGAATTATGGAGGTTTTTTGAGTAAAAATCTGAATGCAAAAATAGGGTAAAATCAATCGTAACCTTTTCCCAATGTTCAAATGAGGCAGCAACGAATTGGTATATTTGAATCAAGAATATTTGTTGCACCGAATGACCCGACCACCAATTAAGCCCTATAAAAAGTGTCACGACTGATTTTAGCCTACTCTTGCATTCAGATTTTTATTCACAAAAACCTTCATAACTCGTCGACCAGAAGCCCGCAGCAGATAGCAAAAGTAGATTTGGATTCAGCGTTCTAAGCGTTACAAGGCAGTATACATCCCATTTAAAAGGCTACTTCGACCAAGCTTCCTTTCCTTGTTAGTTATCTGCCAAATGCCTCTAGACCCTGAGTTATGAGCCTTTTGGTTCAAAAAAAATCAAATACGTAAACAGAAGACAAACAGAAGAGACAGAAAGGATTAATCAGAGTTCGTCCAGAATTTCAAACAAGCCAGATTGTCAGAGCACTTCATTCAAACCCTTTTTGTTTAAAACACTTATGCTTCGCTAGAAAGACTGTAATGTTTGTTTTTAACTTGGACTACGCCTCCATTTCTCGCACCAAAAACCAGTTAAAACTTGGCATCCAGAGGTGCTTGGCAGATAATGAAAACAAATTTTCAGTCAGCGTTCAATGCTCTTGAATACGGTGTGGGACTCATTTGGGAAGCCACTTCTTCTCTTGTGTATAGGATGAGAGAATGGTGAAGCTAACATTGGACCTACTTTAACGAATATGGGCAATGGCAAGCTAAAAGGGACTGCATCACGAAAGTTCGGGAGATTCCTCATAATAACCTACGCCCCATAAGATTGTCTTTACTTGTGCAATTGCAAATTTTTGAGAAAATATCTAGGAAATCTTCAAAAAGTTTTTCGGGATTGTGTCAAACGCTCCCTTCCGAAAAGTCTTCTCCGACGCCGTCAATGTTGATTAAAGACACAAATTTCTTGGATTTTGTTTAGCTCTGTTTGATGTTCAAAATTCCGTGAAAACTGTAAAATTGAAGCTCATAAAGTAATATACACTAAGTGCAATCGAGATGTTATAGAATCCGAGAAGAGAGATAAATGGAAGAGTTTAGGATAGTGTAATTAGAAGTCGTTTCCTCAATGTCATTCAAATTTATTCATGGCACTACTTTTACTAGAAAAATTACTATTCTTTCACGTCTACCTAATCCTTTGCGCCCTCAAATCTAAGCTGACAAGACTTCATTACGAAGCCTAGTCTTTTTGCACATTTGCAGAGTTGTGGGCTGGTCTATTGTTTACTCGCGTACTAAGTATTCTTCAGCGAAATTCCAGGAATCTTTGTGTTTGTAGTTACAACGATTTTCATTCGCGAACTTGAGCATAAAGAAAAGAACAAATCGAGTGTAATCATCGTAAAAAAGCGAAATTCAACAAAAGAAATGTACAACAGAAAACATGGCAGTATGCAGACTTAAACCAAGGTCTACAACATTGATCGTTTATGCAGGTTTTTTTTGACACACAACCTGTTTTTTTGACAAGTGGAATTTCACTTTCCGATAGCCGCAGTCGTGCAACACTGATTGTTTGCGTTGCATGTGTAACCTGCCGGGCATTGTCCATTCACACAAGGTCCTAAAATTTAGAAAACATTTTTACTGGTTACAACATTTTCTGGGTCATCACTTACCTACGCATTGCTGAGTTGGAGTGAGGGCAGCTTGAGCAGCAATAGTTTGAGCAGCAACAGGTTGAGCAAAAGTTTGGGTTCCATAACCATAACCACCGTAGCCACCATAATTCCTACTAAATAGTAAAGGCCACATCATCATCATAGGCCACCACCACATCATACTGCCGTAGCCGCCACCATAGCCGCCATAGTAGCCTGAAACAGTATGCAACTCATTAAGTGAGTATTGTCAAAAGCTGAGCAAATGTCACAGTTTAAGACTAAAATTTGGCTTAGGAAGGTCTTACAACGACTTGATTCAAACTCTCATAGTACTGAGTGAAGCTATCAGCGCTACTGTATAAATTGAGGAGACCATGCAGCAGGCTTCGTATCGTTTATGATGACTTAAACGCTTGTGTATTAGGGTAAGGTTCCATAGTTAAAAGTGGCGGACCGAGGCGGACCCGAGAATGGATCGTTTTTGAAAGTGACATAAGCCCCTCTTTTATTCAACGGGATTGGCTGGTCGAAGGCGACCGCTCGTATCGGCGACGCAGTCTGGGTCTCTCCCGCGAGCGCGCTCTCTAATCATTCCCTAGTCTTGATGATTGATTGGGCGTCAAAGCCCCGCCTTCCAGCCGCTAATCACTTTAAATCAAAGTTTATATATAGAAGTAGCAAATGAATAATTTTTGAGTTTCAAAATATCAGAAAAGACTTCTCACACTCGCGAGTGTAGAAGAAATTCTTCAAAGCTTACTAGATATTTGATGCAGCCCAGCTCGAAAAGATTTTTTTCAAACCAAAGTTGGTCCACGCATTACATGGGCCACATATGGTGTAGTAAAGCTGGTGATATAGAGATTTGTTTTGCTTTGACTACAGCATTTGAGCGTCACTAGGCTACGGGCCGCAAGAGTTAAGAAAGTGCGCTCTATGGCCATTTTCATGCACAAGCTTTGTCAGATGATGAATGGATTCGAATCTCAGCGATATCCTCATTTCTTGATTCTGCCAATCGCAGATTCAATGTTTTCTCCATCTGTGTGATTTCAGAGAAATCTGTGAGTTTTTGCAAGAAATAAAACTATGAAATAGACTGTCAAAATTTAAAAAATTCATAGCTTTTACGAAAAAGAAGTATTTTTTATATCAGCAGTTTCAAACTCTATATGGTAAAAAGAGGTGCGATTGATGTACGCTCGTAAACGTTAGATGGCTTACCTCTAGCAGGTTGCTGATCCTGACATAAGTGAATATTCAGATCCTGCTCTTGCCTTTTGTATCGCCTTTGTGTGCAGTTAAGAGATGAGACTGGAAGGGAGAAAGCAAGTGCAACGACGATGGATCGTGACGTAATCATTATTGAATTCTAAAATTATGATTTCAAGCCAAAAATCCCAAGTAAAGAATAATTAGCTGACTATTTTCTTAACCTGTGAACGGAAGACTGACTGTGATGTCGATACCAATTCCTGCTTGTTATATATTGCTATTGAGCTTTGTTTATCCTCCAGGCAAGTTTGCTCAAAACCCTAAAACCCTCGAAAGTTGCTAAAAAAAGTGCTTAAGTCGAGCAATTCTTGCGCCGTGTCGCTGTAATAAAATTATCCGATCCAGTTATGTTGAAAATGTAGCACTCAAAACCTTATCATTTCTTCAACTCCGCCTTGTCCCAGGGTTAATTCTGTCATCCAGTTTTCCGGCGTTTGATTCCGTTCCAATGAGGTGCTGCAGCAAGGCGTTTTTTGCTGGTCTAGTTATTTCTGATGTTCAAGTGAGCTTTTTTCGTGAATGCGTGGCACAGTTAAAAAACGCACCCGTACTTGCACCGCTTGAACTTTAATTGTGAATTTGATCATTCGAATTGTATTGATTAAATACAGCTACACAGCCATCGTAGTATTCTGCAGCTAGTCCGTAAAAGCTTTGACTTGCTCTAACAATTAGGAGTTTCAAGTCTCGAAACTTCAAATCTTTCTATATGGTGATTACCGAGAGTCAATTGTGAGACTAATTTGTAGTCCACATTGTATTTTCTGCTTTTTTTGAAGGAAAAATCAACGCAATTATCATGACAACTATGGCCGCCTTGATCGCGTAGGCATAGACATCCGGGCCGGCAGCAATCCCTCCGACCTGGCGGCTGGTTTCAAACTCATCCCGCCGCATCACGACTTGATGTCGCAGGAAGCTAAAATCTCAAGCTTAGGCCTCCAGAACTCATTTTACTAGAAATACCTTATTGAGGATGCTGTGGTGACCTTAAGAAACCTAGAACGCAATCTGAGTGTTCGACCCCTCCCCCCTACAGAACATAGATGCGATAGGCGGAGAAATTTCTTTGACCCCTTCACTTAAGGGCCGCCATCTGGCTGATACCTTTCACTAAGATTGAGATTAAAATCAAGGCATAACGGCAGAGTGAAACGGCTATTACAATGTCATTTTTTGTTTGGAAAGAAAACGCCAGCTACTCTTTTCCTCAGACATCGAGACTGCAAAGGAGCATCGAAGCAACAGCTTTTTGTTGAAAAACGCATGTTTGAGACTTTCTGTCGCACTCAAAGTGGCGTTGATAAGAAACATAGACAAAAATTGAAAGAATGTCTGATTCTTTGAAAAATCAACATTGTATCAACGAATGACATTGTCGCAAGAAAGAGTTGAGCAAGAGTAGAATATCTGGAGTGGCCAGTGATGGATGCATGTTTACTCTTAAAAAGCGTACCATATCTACTTTCATTATAGAATAATAACAAATAAAAGAACACTTAGATTATTCGTTTCTCGGACTTTCCAATCTCGTCTAAAATTTTGGAAAAGATCTCATTGGTTACAAAAATGAAGCCTGAAATTATTATCCAGAGGCTGATATTGTAGCTAGATAAAACTGCTCATATCTCGCTTCACAGAAAAGCTAGGAAAAAAGACGATTTGCGTCGATTCCCCCTGTCCTTAGCTATCGAATGATCTACAAAATGTTGGAGAGTAAAGCTTTCCCAGCCCAAAAAGTCTTGCATTGGCGAAGCCACTGAAGGAGCGGTTTGGAGCGAGCTAATAGTAATTATCCCCTCCTCATTTTTGGAAAGTTACGAGTTTTTTCGCTTAATATCGTATATACCATTAGAAAGCTCAAGAAACGGAATTCGACATGGAGAGTCTCTTTTTGTCTAGCTCCCTCTGCTTAGAAATACACGGCATTTTAGCTGAAAGCATGTGTGTTTTTGTCAAGAAATCCCTGCGTAAAGAATGGGCGAAAATGTCTGATTGTCCAAAGTATTACAGAGCAAGACCTTGCCAGTAATGTCGTCTCTTTTATATATCTTTTATATATCTTTTTTGTATGTCGATTAATGTTGATGAGAGTAAAGCTATCCTAAATGAGAAACGTCTCTGCTTGATAACCTTTCAAAACCAAAGCATTGAGAAATTCTTTATATTACCTCTGTACCACTATCTTTCTCTCTTTGCACATCCCAGTCCCACTCGGTATGTAAGCTTACGACAGCATTTACCTGAACTTTACTTACCCCTTCACTTTTTTGGGTGGAAAAAGCCAAAACCCCCTTCACCTGGAGGAGACCCCGCTCTCCCTATCGCACCTACTTATGGAATATTAATAGAGAGAGCAAGAGGTGGCGCTGGCATCGCGAAGTAAGCTGCGGTAAGTTAGAGTGCACGAGAATGTGCTTTTTGGAGAGAGGAAGGTGGCATGTGTTTCGATGTATCGCTATAATGTCGAGATGTTCGCACCTTGCTAACGCCGTCTGTGATGGGTATTGCAGACGTATCATGAAATTCACATCCCAGCCAGCAATTCAGTTCTTTCTGGCATCGTTCGAGTTCTTCTTGCTTGAATTAATGATGTCCAGTGAACAGAAGCTAGTTCTATCACATAACACTTGCAGTATTGTCTTCTCTCTGCACTTTCCACGAAAATTCTTTTGAAACCTCGCGTGCTTCTTACTCGTATCGATGTCGATTGTCCTTTCAGAATCAAAAGTCTACTTACCATGTACTGATTGCATCATCATAGGACGCCACATGTATGTGCCTTCTTATTTCTGCTCTTCGTAAGACAAAAATATGGTCTATCGCTCAGCGAACCCGCGCTCGAAGTCGATGCAGAGGCTCGAGCGGAAGCGATGGCACTGTTTTGCGGCGGTCTGCCAGTGATCAGCCTACTATCTCACGTCCGAATTGGCAACCTTCCGTGATTAGTGCCACCATGGCGACATCCAAAATTCACCAAGTAGGGCAGATCAATGTGGGCCTTAATGGACAGCCTTATGTTCTCAAAGTAGTGTTCCTGTCGCGGTAGAGCGCGGCATATTCAGTCTTCGGTTCAAGCTGTCGTGGAGCATGGTGTGTGTGGACGAACATGTGTCAATCCTTCATAAAACAAAACTGATTGCAAGCCTTCGATCTAAATTCTTGCAAGTCTTCGATCCAAATTCTCCCTGTCACTCATTTTCAAAAACTCGTACATCGACTACACTCACTATTTTTCGTCTCCCGTTTTGTAGACACTTTACTTAACGATGCTTGGGAGTTTGAATCAAAAGCAGTGAAAATGGATGCTTTGATGCAAGAGATTAGCTAGCGGTAATAACAAAGGAAAGGCTTGAGATAAAGACATAAGGCAACTTACGATCAGGCTGCTTTGTCACAATGAACCGTCTAAAACTTCGATGAAGTAGTGAATTTTTTCGAATGTACCAGGCTAAGCGTTGGATTTACATGTGGAAGTATATATCGAAAAATATCTGAAAAACAAAATTGTTCAAGAAATACAAGAATGCAATGCATTTTAATCTATCTTGCACGAAGACTATAATCTCATTTGAGAGCTTTTCTGCTAATTACTATTGCTTCTTCTTTTAACTACCTGCTCACACAACGATTTGTAGTCATACTGCTCTCCAGCTTATTTGAGAACAACAACCATAATTTTTTGGGTATAATGATACCTTTTGTAGCCTGATGATATTCGGCTTCAAGAATAATTATCTTGGTAAAATATTGCGCTATGAAGGAGGACTGACTATTCAGGAGGTGATCATATCCATGGTGGTAGAAATTTGATGTAGTTCAGTATAAGTGTCTTCAAATCTGCTGTAACCTCACTCCAGTGTAACGAGACAACATGGTACATGAAGCAAGACTTTAGATATATTCCCCTTCATCGAGTGCCTGCTCACTTTGCCATGAAATCAAACTTTCTATTATAGTCATCCTAGAGCTACGCAGTTAATTTCTAAAGGCCGCATGCACTAACATCCCCGCTGGGGAGGGGATCGCGGCTTGAAAGAAAGCTTTATATTTCGAAACCCCAGATACCTGGATTTCACGTTGTGCACCCATCTGTAAGTATTCCTACTACCCTTCACTATGAACACATTGAACAGGAGCGAGAAGCTGCACAAGGCGCATTTTTCAGCTTTGATACGATCCCTGATGATCCCCGGGGCCTTTCTTTAAAGTCATTTTTCCTTCTCCAGAGTTAACAAAAAGCTTTCAAAGTTGTGCATAATATCTGATACAACACTGTCTAGCATGTTGCTGATAAGAACAAGTGTACCGGAGTCATGAAATTTGCGATGAACCACGGGTCGAAAATTCGAGTTCACGGAAAAAACCGAATTTTCAAAAACTCATTTGTTCTCGTCAGTAATATGCTTAGCACTGTTGTTTTAGATAATCAGTACAACTTTGGAGGATTTTCATCAACTTCAAAGAAAGAAAAATGACTTTGAAGAAAAGCGCCGGGGATCACCAGGGATCATACAAAAGCTGGAAAATGCTGCTTGTGCAGCTTCTCGCTCCTGTTCAATGTGTTCATAGTGAAGGGTAGTAGAATACTTACGGATGGGTACACAGTGTGTAATCCAGATATTTGGAGCTTCAGAATATGAAGCTTTCTTTTGAGATGCGATCCCCTCCCCAGCGGGGAAGTGCATGCGGCCCTAAATGTGTCTTATTTCTGGGGACGGGAGGAGGGGGGGGGGGTAGGACAGGCTAGTGTCATGTTTAGTTCGTTTAGCTATATGTACTGCTTCTGGATTAATTCCTCATTTGGAAATCGAGAAAACGAAATTTTTCGTGTTTATACAAAAACGCAGCTATGCTGTTTTTACCCATGTAATTGTATACTGCAAGCTTTTAGGAGTTTTCAGTTTTTCACAAGCCCTAGTTTTTGAAAATTACCTAATTTAGCCCTCCTCACTTGGGTGTTCCATGCTAAAATCAATACTTCTCGAAAACTAATGCTTCTAGAAAGCTGAAAATTTAGTTTTGCTCTCCTAATAGCTTGTAGTATACAATGACACGAGTAAAAACGCATAGCTATGTTTTTTGTAT